TCATTTCCAGCCATTTCCAGCCTGGTCTTAGCTGATCAGGTTGGGAGATGACCAGCTAAAACCAGCTTGAACAGCCTAACCAAGCTGGGAGTCCAGCCAAAACCAGCTATGTCCAGCTTAAACCAGGCTGGTCAAGATGGTTCTGGTTTTAGCTGGATTTGGCTGGTCATTTTCCAGCCTGACCAGTTAAGACCAGGCTGGAAATGGCTGGAAACCAGCCTGGAAATGGCCAAAACCCCTCTAAGGCCTAGGCTGGTTTACGCTGGATTTTTCAGCAGGGAAGTGATGCGATTTCGCAGGTCTGACACATTCGCGTGCGTATGAATGGAAGTCTATTTGAGGAAAAGCCCAGTGTTACCGTAGCTTTAGTTTGACACTCCAAGGATGAGTTAACATAAGGATGAGAAAACCTTGTTATTAATTATTGTTGTTTCATACCAAACCCCTGAGACCTTCATTCATCTTCAGAACACAAATTAAGAAATTGTAGATGAAATCTGAGAGCTCTCTCATTCTCCATAGACAGTAAGGGTCCCGTAAAGTCCAGAAAGAGACCTCTCTAACATCGTCAAAACACTCCATGTGACTTTTAAGGTTCAACTCTAATCATATGAAGATGCAAGATCCTGCTTGTTAAGTGTGACGTCACGCGGAGAGGCTTCCGGGTCCAATCGCTCTATTTAACTGAATTGGGAGACTTATGAAATGGTAATAATAAACGTTTACAAAGCGATTTAATACTTTCAAAAACACGATCACGACATACATGTCCATGCCTAATATGGCCAGAAAGGGATTTATTTTTTTATAAATTGTTATAATTTTTGGTATTTGTTATGCAGCAAGCCCAAAGATTGTTGTGTGCACTATGACTTTATAAATAATTAACTTTATAGTGTGATAGGAATAAAACGTGATCATAAACGAATGATTTCTCCACTCAAATGACCGGCGGCTTGGACCCGGAAGCAGTATACATACCGTCACCACTTAACAAGCGGACTCTTTTGTGTGGTAAAAACAAACCTGTTGAGACTCTTGCAGTTTATAAAGGATGAGTTAGTCTTCAGATTTGATTTCAATCAGGGTACGCACACGGGCTCCGCAAGTCGGTGGCTGTCCGTGGTGCCCAGTCACGACTCATGTCATGACACTTTTCAAATTTTTACAGCGCAAAAAAGCACCATCCAAATAGTTTCATTTACAATTTAACGTGCGAATGTGTGTGTCTAGTGTGCAATACTTTCAACTCTCTTGTGCGCGCCATGCCGCAGCACATCTGGTGTGTGACCCGCTTCAGGGTTCAAGAGGACCAGTTTAAAGGAGACTAAAGATAACAGGTGTTTTCAGCAGCACTTTTTCTTTCAGTTGTGTGACGTCATTTATAATGCGCTTGAGACTGACAGACGTTCTTAGGATGCGTTCACACCAGACGAAGACGAAGCGTCAAGTGATTTACATGTTAAGTCAATGAAAAGACGTGCATAGACATCCTGGGAAATGTTAGGCACGAATGAGGCGGTGCGAGTGATGCGAAAAAATTAAATTTAGCGGACATTTGCGCCGCGTTAACCAATCAGAAGCTTGCACTTGTAAGGGTGTGATTATGACGTTGCGCCTGCAGTTGCTGGATGCACCTCTGAAAGGATCTAGTGAACTAGACATGGCGCCAAACAAATCTACACTGTTTTTCAGCCTTCCTAAAGCGCATAAACACAGCTACTCTATCTATAAAATCCACGTTAGCCATTTAGCAAGAGTCACCGCAGACCCATGAGGTGAATCAGAGTCTTTTGTAAAGTGAATATAAAGTGCAAATGACGCGAGTAAACTCAAAATGTTCAGTCTATTTACACACGAATAGCGTGATTTATTTGCGTGTGCCGCGTCTGGTGTGAACACAGCAGTTGGCTTTTTTTAAAGCGTGCATGTGCAAAACCAGCTCAGATGAAAATCTACATTGCAGTTTAAATCAGACTAAGGTGGTTTGCAGGTCTTGAGCTCAAAAAGCAGACAGGATGAGAGCAGCAGAGCAGTTTTCAGAGCTCTGATCTACATGAGTGGAGTGAGATCAAGACGATCACGCATGAACACATTTATCCATGCTCTTCAAAGCTGCAAAGGAAAAGCAACTCAAAGGGTTTGTTTAAGGAGGAGCAGCTTTTTAAAGTGTGTCACGTACCTCAAAACTCTTCACCTCGTCCTCTTCCTCTTCATCATGGCAGCTCTGTGATTAGTCAAACAGAATCTTTACAGTTAAAGACAAACATTTTCACTGTACTGCAAATTGTTTTATTCGGTTACAAACATTTCTCAAGTGCTTTTTACAACATTTTCAGTTTTAATAACTGATAACATCTGTCTTTACATTGATGACAGGGCATGCTATCTTATTACTTGTTTTGCAAAATACTAGTAATCAGTTTAAAATGCAATTTAAAGGCTTGGTTAGTAAGTTTAACTAGGCAAGTCATTACGCAATAGGGGTATGCCAATGTAATGATCGTAGCAGTTTTTTTATTCCAGTCCCTGAAAGAAACATCATTTTCTCCAGAAGAAAATTATAATAGGAAACATTTCTTGAGGACCTTAGCTCCGTTAAAAAGCACTTGGGAAATATGTGGGGGAAAAAACTCATTCACAAAAGGGCTAATCATTTTGTCTTCCACTGTATATCAGATTATAATCCTAAAGAAAAGCCAATATTATAATCAAACATTATAAAGGGGTCTTACTTTGGCCATGATATCAGCGTAAGCCATGTAGAGATGATCCTCCTCTAGTTTACTACAACACAACAACAGCAGCTTAGAAAAGTCTGAATGAAATCACTGTGATTTGGAGCAGTTATATTAAAGTCGCCATGAAATCAAAATTGACCTTTCTCATTTGTATATATATTCAGTAGTTCTTGTTATAAATGACGTATCTTTTAGGGGGCAGGGCTATACATTCATTTAGGGTGGAGCTATCGGTCTTAGGTCGGAGCTATCAGTCTTTTAGAACAGGCCTATCAGTCTTTTAAAGCAGGGCTATCAGCCCTTAAGGCCTGGCTATTAGTCATTTAGCACAAAGCTATCAGTCTTTTAGGGGGGCGGGGCTATCAGTCCCTTTAGGGCGGAGCTATCAGTCATTTAGGGTGGGGCTATCAGTCTTTTAGGGCCGAGCTATCAGTGCTTTAGGGCGGGACTATTAGCCTTTTAGGTCAGAACAACTAGTCGTCTATTAGGGCAGAGTTATCAGTCCTTTAGTGCGGGGCTATCAGGGTGTGTTACATTTCTTCTCTGAATTTGTCCATTCTTCTTCTTTCGACAATCCAATTGGGTCCAATCACGATAGTGGAAAAAAGGACCATCTTAACTTTCATGGCGACTTTAACCAAGAGATGTACATAAGAGGAAAACCAGCCACCATTTCTCGGTCAGTGCGGTCCGGCTGAACAGCTGAATGAGCTGGTGTAACGGGTCAATGTTTTTGGTCATCTCATCCTCTTCTGGTGGCTCCTCTACACCTGGTTTCTGTAACACCAAACAATAGCAGCTGAATTAACAATATAATAAACTTGATATAAAAAAACACACAGGTGTGATCTTAGAGCAGCTTAATTGCAAAATCACAATATGTCTCATATTTGATAAAGTTTGCATCATTGATTCTGTTGTATTTTAATACAATGTGAAGCAACAATGTTTATATTCATATACAATGTGTTAAAAATGTGCTGCATGAGAGAAATACTTACAGCTAAATCCTCAATCAGCTTGTCCTCGAAGTAATGCTCTTCGGTCTCAATCCAGGACTTCTCATAACCCTGCAGGAACAAATTCACTGCCCTGTGCCTGAAAGAGAGCAGAATGAGAATCAGGGATCAGATCATCAGGAATCAGATTATCAGAGCAGGATGAGATGCAGGAATCAAATCGCCAGGAGAAGATAAGAATTAAAAATCAGATAATCAGCAATCAGGACAGGTAAGAATCAGTAATCAGATCATCAGGAGTCAAATTATCAGATCATCAGGATATGATAAGAATAAGAAATCGGATAATCAGGACAGGATGAGAATCAGGAATCATATCATCAGGACAGAATGTGATCATTAGAAATCTGATCATTAGAGTAGGATGAGAATCAGAAACTTTATCATCAGGACAGAATCACATAATCAGGAATCAGATCATCAGAGCAGGGTAAAAATCGGGAATTAAATGATCATAATTCAGATCACCAGGAATCATATCACCAGGAATCAGATCATCAGGAATCAGATCACCTGGAATTAGATCTTTAGGAATCATATCATCAGGAATCAGATCATCAGAAATCAGATCATCAGGAATCAGATCACCTGGAATTAGATCTTTAGGAATCATATCATCAGGAATCATATCATCAGAAATCAGATCATCAG